TGAAGTAGCCAGAGCTGCCCTTCCCTGCCAGCTTCTCACCATCTCATGGGGAATTTGCTGAGATCTCCATTGACTCTGACAACTCTGGGCTGGGACTACTTGGGGCCTCAAAACTGGAGAAAGAACCCCGGAACTTGTCATCTAATTGTGAGGGATGAGCGTCAAAAGGGGAGGGGCTAGAGTTAGGGCGGTGGGGACTGAGATAGCTCTATAGCTATATCTCCATATGCATCTATTCCCTATACATTATTCCAGGCCCTTTGTTAGGCAGTAGAGACCCCAAGACAAAAAAAAAAGGGGAGATAAAGAAGGGATATAGAGCCAAGGGGAACACAGAAAGTCACACTACAGTATACATACACACACATGTGGGTATGTGTATATACATTATGTATGTGCAGGTATAGAAATGTTTCTGTGTACACACACATATACACATATACATATGCTTACATGCACACATACGCACACAATACCCCAAAAGTCTTAGTGACATTTTAAAGCAATTTTGGGACACCCTGCATGTATGTATAGATTCTGATTTGTTATTTCAGTAACATGGACACGTCCTGGTGTGGAAACTCTCTCCACCAATGTAGATCATCTATAAGCTATAACTTGTAGTTTCAGAAAGAGACACCTGGGAGGGCTTGTAGAGGAGAAATGACTTGTGTATGGTCCCAAAACCAGGATCAAGCAATTAGTCAAATAGCCAGCCTTAATTACTTGCTTAGATTTCAGCTCTCCCTCTGAGCCCTGCTGAGCCTGTGGTGGACTCATACATAGCTAGAGTCTGAGGACCTGTGTTCAAATTCCAGCTCTGTTCCTGCTGTGTGACACACAACTTCACCTGGGTCCTCACCGCTGCGAGGAAATCCTACTATAACTCCCTTATTGATTCACTTTCCACAGAAGTTCTTCCAAACCTTCTGTTCTCTCCTCAAATCTCTCCTGATGTCCCCTCTCCCCACCTTCTTGGCTGGGAGCCTTGCCTCATATTTTACAGAAAATAGGGAGGCTGTTTGCTGAGCGCTCCCTCTTTTCTCCTTGTCCTTGCCTCCTATCACTCAGGTGCCTTTGGCCACTCTGTACTCCTTCACCTTTTTCTCACATGATGGACTGGTCTTACTCCTCATCAAGGCTAACCCTTCTACTCATTCAAGTAATCCCATTCCTTCCCATCTCCTCTAACAGAATCCCACCTCTGTCATCCTCCAGGCTTTTGCTTGTTTTCAATCTCTCCCCCTCTACTGGCTCATTCTCTGCTGCCTACAAACATGCCCATGTCTTCCCCATCCTCAGGGATGGATCTTTCTGTCCCCTAATGATTGCCCTACATCTCTTCTGCCCTCTGCTGCTAAAATCCTCAAAAATGTCAACTACCATAGGAGACTTCACTTTCTCTCCTCTCCCTCTCTTCTTAATCCCTTATGATTTGGCTTATAATCGTATCATTCCACTGAAACTGCCCAAACTTGCCAATGATCTCTTAGCTGCCAAACCCAGTGACCTCTTCTCAATCATTATTCTCCTTGACCTCTCTGCAGCCTTTGACACGGTTGATCTCTCTCTCCTCCTTCATATTCTTCTCTGTCTAGGTTTCTGGGCCACCTCACTCTCTCCTGGTTCTCCTCCTGCCTCTCTGACCCCTCCTTCTCAGTCTCCTTTGTGGGTCCTCCTCCAGATCCCCCTAACCCAGCTCTCCCACATGGCTCTGTCCTGGACTCCTCTTCTCTTCTCTTCTCTTCTCTTCTCTTCTCTTCTCTTCTCTTCTCTTCTCTTCTCTTCTCTTCTCTTCTCTTCTCTTCTCTTCTCTTCTCTTCTCTTCTCTTCTCTTCTCTTCTCTTCTCTTCTCTTCTCTTCTCTTCTCTTCTCTTCTCTTCTCTTTTCTCCTTCTTTACTACTTCACTTAGTAATCTCATCAACTCCCATGCTTGGAATACTCTCCATTTTCCACTCTGTCTACTGACCTCCCTGGCTTCCTTCAAGTCACAACTAAAATCTCACATTCTACAGGCAGCCTTCCCCAACCCCTCTTAATTCCAGTGTCTTCCCTCTGTTAATTATTTCCTATTTATCTTGCATATAGCTTGCTGTGTGTGTGTGTGTGTGTGTGTGTGTGTGTGTGTGTGTATATATGTATGTATGTATACATAGGTGTGTGTATATATGTACATATAATATATTTATATTGTATATATAATATATAGATGTATGTAAAGAAAGAGAGTGAGAGTGAGCATGCATGTTGTCCCCCCATTAGATTGTAATCTTCATGAGGGTAGAGACTGACTTTTGTCTCTTTTTGTATCCTCAGGACTTATCACAGTGCCTGGCACAGAGTAGGTGCTTAACAAATATTTATTGATTGACCTTGGATAAGTCTTGTGATCTCCCTGAGCTTTAGTTTCTTCAATTATAAAATGAAGAGATTGGAGAAGATGGTCTCTGCGGCCTCTTTCAGCTCTAATGCTGTGCTCTGTTTCCACCACTGTTCATTATCCTTTGACAAAAGCATCTAGAAGCTGGGGAGGGCCCACAAGGAAGGAAATTTGGGCTTGCTTTGTCAGGGGAGCAGAAAGCTGAGGAGGTTGAAACCTGAGGGCTCCTATGCTCCAGCCCATGGATGACTGAAGGAGATACTGATTCCTTCTCTATGCTCATAGAGCCCCAAACAAGAGAAAAGCAGGAGGGATTCTGGTTCAGCCCAAGGAAGAATTTGTCCATCAGTCAGGGCTGGACCTGAAGATATCTCCCATGACTCCTCAGCTCTTGGGCTCTATGTCTTATAATAGCAATGGGTTATCACAATTGAGCAAACTCATTTTTCAGGGACTGGGGAAAAGAAGTCTGTGCAGAATTGGGGCCTAGGGACTCTTCAGGCAGAACCCTCTGGGAGCTGGTGAAAAGTTTAAGGCCCTGAAACTAGGAAGAGGATGATGTGGGGAGCTGGGGGGAGGGGTGGGGGGGACTGTCTCAACACAAGTGGAAGTGATGAAAGCCAACTCTGGCACAAGATCAGACCACTGTGATTTTCTGAAGCCCAAGAAACATTCTTCTAGATTTCTAGCTGTTAGAGGGACATGGATTAGTCAGGAAGCCCTGGGAGGAAAGTCATTTGGGCTGGTGAGTGCTGAGAGCCTGGAGTTGGCACTGTTGTAAAGCCAGGTTTTGGGTAATCATCCGTCATCATTTTAGTGCACTGAACTCCTTTCTCCCTCACCCTCTTCAGTTCAATTGAAAAAGTACTCACAAAGCATGTACTATGTGCCAACCACTATAGATTTGACATCATTCTAATAATAGCTAGCATTTATATAGTGCTTTAAGAGAAACATTAAAATCATCCCTGCCCTCAAGCGGCTTACAGTCTACTGGGGGAAAGGTACAATAATGTAAGAGCTTTACAGCTTAAAAGGACTCTACTCATATTTCATCACTTGATCTTCATAATAACCCCAGGAGGTAGGGGCTATTATTATTATTATCATCCCCATTTTATAGATGAGGAAATTGAGGCCAAGAGAGATTAAATGACTTGCCTAGGGGTCACACATCAAGCAAGTATCTGAGACAGGATTTGAACTCAGTTTCCTGACTGCAAATCCATCCCTCTATCCCCTGCAGTACCCAACATGCACCTATAATGCATGCATAAAGGAAATATAAAAATATATATTTTTAGAAGTACAAAGTAATTTTTAAGGGCAGTGGGGTGGGGAGGGAGTAACAATTTGGTGCAATCAGGAAAGGCCTTCTTGAGGAGGTACCACCTGAGGGAGAGACGAGGAGGGAGTGTGTCACAGGTATTGAGGACATGCATGGAATTGGGAGTTGGAATGACTTACTAAGATGCTCAGTGGAGAACAATTGGAATTAGAGGACCTGAGCTTTGGCAAATCATTGCACCCCCCTGGGACTCAATTTCCGTATCTGTAAAATGAGGGAGCTGGGCTTGATGACCTCTAAGAATGCTTCCAGCTCTAAATCTGTGATTCTCTAAGAAAGCCTGTTGGTTTGGAATGTTGTTTATCCTTCGTTCTCGAAGAAGACCGTGACATCAGGAAGGTGATGCCATGACTTATGAATGAATTGGATTTGAGTGAGGGAGGGCTGTGCAAAGTCACCAGCCTCACTTTCTCTTCCAGAGCCATCTGGGTCCAGCAGCCAGATATAGATCAGGATGACCAGAGATGGAACCTAGGCTAGAATGTATAGTGTCTGGGGTTGGGGGTGGAGGAGGGGGTGGATAATAGCTAATCCTCCTGTAAACGGAGCATCTTGGAATCATCGGGTTGTCCATTTAGAGCTTGAAGTTTCCTCAAAGACCACCATGTCCTACCTGCTCATTTCCTTATACATGGCACTCCATCACCTAGGCACAATATCACAATGTTACTCAGATAGGTAGGAGCCAGATTGTAAATGGCTTTGCACGTTAGAGGAATTTCCATTTTGTCCTAGAAGCAATAGAAGCCAGTCAATCAAAAGTCATTTATAATAATAACAGCTAGTATTTCTATAGAGTTTTAAGGCATACCAACTGCTTTACATATATTATCCCATTTATTCCTCACAATAACCCTGGGAGGTAAGGGCTGTGTTTATCCCCATTCTACAGATGAGGAAATTTAGGCTGAGATGTTAAATGACTTGTCTAGGGCCACACAGCTGGCAAAAGTCTGAGGCCAGATTTGAACTTGGGTCGTCCTGACTCCAGGCCCAGCCTCTGTCTACTGGGCCACATCTAAGGCACCATGTTAAGCTCTAGAGATTCAAAGACAAACGTAAAACTGTTCCCGCCCTCTAAGAGCTTATAGTCACTATACATATATAAGTGTATACAGAATATATATTATTGCATATCTATTATATTTATATGTATAGATATATTTTATAAAACATATTTATAGAAAATATTTTAATAAACATGTTATTTATGAATATGTATATGAAATATACATATGTAAAAATATTTATTTTATCCTTTCTCTCCCAAGGTTGGAGCCTAGGAGAGTGGGAAGATGGTGGTGCCCTTGACAGAAACAGTAACATCTGGAAGAGGAATAGATTTTGAGTGAAAGAATGAGTTCTGTTTTGCACCTGTTGATTTTGTGATGTCCATGGAAATGTCCAATAGAACATGTGTGATATGGAGCTGTCAGTCAATAAACATTTATGAAGCCCTACTATGTGCCAGAAAGTGCCCTGGATGCAAAGAAAGGCAATAGACAGTCCCTGCTCTCAAGGGAGTCATAGTGTAAGGGAGGGGTGGGGGCGGGGAAGACAATATGTACAGGTAAGCTATAGTCAGGATAAGTGATAAATCATCAACAGAGGAAAGACACTGGAATTAAGAAGGATTGGGAAGGGCTTCCTGTAGAAAGTGGGATGTTACCAGAGACTCACAAGAGGCCAGGAAAGCCAGGAGGTGGAGATGAGGAGGGAGAGAATTCCAAGCATGGGGGACAGCTGGGGCAAATGCTTGGAGGTGGGAGATAAAGTTCAAGGGATGGCACTGGATGGAAGGGTCCATAGTGGGCGGTGGTGGTGGGGAGTTTAAGATTAAAGAAAACTGGAAAGGGAAGGGGCAGGTTATGAAGGTCTTTGAATGCCGCCTGGAGGTGATAGCCCCGAAGTTTACTGATTAAAGGGGTGACAAGGACAGATATTCACTTGAGGAAGATCATTTTGACAGCTGAGTGGAGGATGGACTTGAATGGGGAAGGACTAGTGGCAGGCTGGCCTACCAGCAGGCTGTTGTACCCGCACAAGGAAATGTGGGCAATGTCAGAGGAGAGAAATAAGTGCATATGGAAGATGTCACCAAGGTAAAATCAGTAAGGCCTTGGCAACAGATTGTCCATGGAGGTGAGAGGAAGTGAGAAGGCAAGGATGACCCATAGGTTTTGAGCCTGGGTGACGGGAACGATGGTGGTGCCCTCAACAATGACAGGGAAGTTAGGAAGACGGGGAGGTCTGAGGGGAAAAAATAATGAGTTCAGTTCTGGATATATCTGTGGGACATCCAGTTTGAGATATCCAATAGGCAGAAAGGCTGGAAGTCAGCAGAGGGGTTAGGGATGGATCAACAGATTTAAGAAGAGATGATCATTGAATCCTCGGGAGCTGATGAGATCCTCCGGTCAAACAGCATCAAAGGTGAGGAGAAGAGGGCCCATGAGGGAGTATCTTGGGACACCTGTGATTATCAGTGTGTGACCTGGATGAGGACACAATAAAGAAGCCTAAGAGGGAGCAGTCAGGTAGGAGGAGAACCGGAGAAGAGGGGCACCCCAAAAACCTAGAGAGAAGAGAATACCAAAGAGAAGAGGTCAAAGGCCACAGAGAGGTCGAGGGTGAGGTCTGAAAAAAGCCATTGGATTTGGCAATTAAGAAATCATTAGGAACTTCGTACAGAACAATTTCAGTTGAATAGTGAGACTGGACTCCAGACTGTAGGGAGTAACAAAAAAAAAAAAAAAAAGACAGCTAAACAGACTGGAGCCCAGGAGAACAATCAGAGCCACTGAGGTTTCTTGAAAGACTTCTCTCCTCTAAGCCCTCCCAGCCTCCATCCCCAGAACTGAGGAGCAAGATGTCAACCCACTTCACAGGCAGGCAAACTGACTCTAGGGGAGGAAAATGTTAAACCACGCACTCTAGTTCTGGGAAGAACTCAAAGCAGAGGCAGAGGGAGCCCAGAACAACAGAGAATATGCAAATATGTTCTCAATAAGTCAGAGCTATTGCTCTCAAAGAAAGGAATCTTCAAAACACACAATTTTCATTCTCTCTCTGCGGGTGATGGGAACCTAAAGAAATGATTACGTGAATGTTTTAGTCAGTTGGGGCAGGGCATTCTATCTCTGAAATCACCCACTTGTCGGTGCCTGAAGAAAGAGGCTGGGCTGGCCTCCTCTCCTCCGCAGATGGGAGCTAAGGTTGGGGGGCAAGGAGCAGAATGAGATGCAGGTGCTGGCTTTGGCCTCTCAGAAGCACAGGGCTGGCCCCTGGGCCCCCCAGCTCCCTGGAGGAGTGGCCTGCTGAATGGGTGAGAGGGATGGGCAGGGGCCCTGCGGTGCGCTCCCATCTGCCCCTCAGGAGCCCTGGTGGCATACTTCAAGGCTCCCGAGAGGAGGCCTTTGGGATCCTGGTGCTCCTCCCTCCCTCCTCCATATTCCCAGTTCTTAGGATCCTCCCCAAAGATATTGCTCCATATTTAAAATGAAAGGCTCAAATACCTGGGAGCTAGAAGGGACCCCAGAGGGTTCTAGTCTAATCTTCTTGTTTTAAAGAGAAGGAATCTAAGGTCCAGGGAGGTAGAAATGACTTATTATTATTAATTATTATTATTATTATTATTATTATTATTTTTTGGTGAGGCAACTGGGGTTAAGTGACTTGCCCAGGGTCACACAGCTAGTAAGTGTCAAGTGTCTGAGATCAGATTTGAACTCAGATCCTCCTGACTCAAAGGCCTGAACTCTATCCACTAGAATGCCCCTAGCTGTCCCTGGAAATGTACTGAAACTCACATAGGAGGTAAGCATCAAAATCAGGATTTGAACCCAGATCCTCTGGCCCTGGAGCCACTGTACCACAGGTACTTAAGTGTTTCCCTTCCCCTTTTCCTGAAGTTCCCCCACCCCCACCCCCATGTAAGCTCCTTGAAGATGGAATACAATCATTTTTGCCTTGACATGCCCAGGTCCTGTGATGTTACATCACTGGTGCTGGGAAGCCCTGGTAAGGAAACTCTCCGTCACAAGCATAGGAAACTATTCTTGATCACTGAGCACACATCTGTCAAAGGCCTGCTGCTGTATTGTGTACTGCAAAGACAAAACCGAAACTGTCTCTGCCCCCCTTTAAAGGTTTTTAGTCTTCCAGAGTGGCCCAGTGCACTGAGATTAAGTGACCTGCAACAGGGTCACAAGGCCAGGAGGTGTCAGAGGCTAGACTTGAACCCAGGTCTTCCTCCCTATAAAACCATTTCTCTATTTCCTGTGACCTGTTGCCTGACACAGACTAGGTGCTGGGTACATTCTCATTGAATCGGACTGGGGAGATGGGCTGAGCAGGGCAGGCAGAGGATGAGGGAGGAAGGTGGGGCATGTCCTGTGTGACCTTGGACAAGTCACTTCCCTCCTTGTCCCTCCTTGCTTCATCCTAAGGATGAGCAATACAATCATCAATGTTGTCTCAGACCAGCTACAGGTGCTGGTTTCTTTTAGGCCAGCTGCATAAAGTTCTCTGTTGTTATGGCAGCTGCACAGTTTGTCCTGGACTACCTGATTGCCCCCTTCCTGTCTCTGGCAAATCAGGTTGTCAGAACTCAGGCAAATGAGAGGGATAGAGGCAGACAGGAGGGCTCCAGGTTCCAGGGAGCAAGGGCTGTACAGAGAAAGACTGGATTATGAGGAATTTGGAGAGGAGCCCCCATTTGGAATTGGAAGTTATTTACTGTATTTTGCCCTTCCATATTTCTGGATCAAACTCCTGGTCAGATGCGGGCAGAGGGTCCTGATTTGTCTCTCCAGGACTTAGTAGTAGGTGAAGGAGGTGAGGAGAAAGAAGAAAGGAGGGATGAGGAAATGGAAGAGATATAAAGGGGATGGCATCGGGAGATGGAAGAAAGATGATGAACTTAAGGAGATTGCAAAGGAGTTGAAGACTGGGAAGGGAGACACTAGGACACAGGAATAAAAAGGGAGATAAGAGAAGACGGAAAGGAGATAATAGTGATGGAGGAGAGGCAAGGGGAAGATTAAGGGGATGGAAGAGAGATAAGGGGGATGCAGGTGAAGAGAAAGTGATGAAGAGAAAGTTGGAAAGGAAAGAGAAGAGAGCAGGATAGAAGGAAGGAAAGAGACAGAGGTGAAGGTAAGGGAATGGGAAAGGGGAGAGGAATTGAAGGGAGATGAGGGGGAGTGGAGTGGATAGAGAGTTTTCAGGAATGGAAAGGAGAAAAAGAGGGAAGGGGAGAGAGATAGAAGGAGAAGGAAAGCAGAAGGGGGACAGAGAGGGGGAGAGGGGAGAGGAGGGGAGAAGAAAAGATGGCAGATGGGGAAAAGGGAGGGAGGGTGGTGAGTACTCCACTGTATTTGGTCTCAGAAAAGACCAAGTCAGAGGCAGCAGGATTATTCCAGCCCCTCTGCTAGAATTGGGGAGGAGGGAGCAAAGGCCCTTCTCTCAAAGACCCAGTTTCCACCTAATTGCAACCTCCCAGAGCGGGGGCCAGGTGGGGAGGGTGGACCTGGCTCCATGGACCTCTAATTGATCTAGGCCTTCCAGGCTGCAAGTCGGCCTTGGCCTCTGTAATGAATCTCTCAGGGCAGAGCTGGCAGTAGCCTGGGTTGCCTGGAGACAGAATTAGACTGAGTGGGAGGCCTTCATTCCTCCTTCATTACTGCCTGGGGATGGCCTCTGCCTTGCCCTAATAAACACTAGAATTCAGGCATTTAGCAGCAAGCCCAGAGCACCCCCATTAGACCAGGGCTCTGTAGGGGCAGCCTGAGATCCCTGCGGCCCAGACCTCCCAGCTCTGGCCTCCTTCAGTGCTTCCGCCAGGAAGCGTCCTCCTTTCCTTCTCCCCTAACTCAGTCTGTGCCCTCCAAGGACATACTATGCAGTCGTGAGACAGGGTCTAGTTGGGGAGATGGGAGACCTGGCTTCCAGCACTGACCCTCTTTCATCATCCTCATCGTCATCACTCACATTTCTATAGAGCTTTAACACTCGTAAAGCATTTTACACATGGTAGAGGGGCGATTTGGAAGATAGCCCCAACTTTTGGGGAAATCAGGTTTTAAGGACACAGCTGGAGTGAGGGCTGGTGGCAGGCCATACCCCAGGCCCATTTCTGGGGCAACCAGTGGTAAGGTGGTGCTCTGTTGGGACCGGCTTCTGCCATCTGGGAACAGAGGCCTTGAGGACCCCATTCCCTGCCCCCTGCCTTGGCCCCATAGCTCAGGATCAGTGCCCTTAAAGGCTCAAGGGAAAAGATATCTCCATCTCCAGGGACTGGAGACAAGCCATGGTCCTCCAGCTCTACACCTGAGCCCTTTAAGGGATTCTTCTGGCTTTCTACCTTTTTCTGAAGACAGAGGACAGAAGATTCAGAAGAGGAATGATAGTTCTCTGAAAGGATTTAGAGAAGGGGTGGGGAGCCTGTGGCCT